ATGGAGAAGGCGGAGTCTGATCACCTGCTGCGGAGACCCCGCGGTCGCCCGAACAGACGCGGCTCCAGGGACGACCTTGACGTGTCGGTGGTGTTCCCGGGCCGGGTGACCAGAGAGAGCTGCTGCCGCTTCACCTGCGAGCTTCTGAAACACATCCTGCACCAGAGACACCAACTGCCCCTCCCCTACGAGGAGCTACTCCGCTTCTGCCAGAGGCAACAGGTGATCCTCTCCAACCGCGGGGACAACCTGCGCATTTCCAGGAGCATTTGGGTCACCAATCGGGAGGGAGACTGATCCAGGATTCCCAATCAAAACACTTTGGAAGAGGGTATGGATATTTTTGCTGTCTGTGTCTAACTGGGGAGATTTTGTCCCACTTCCTATCACAGGGAACACAACAGGAAGTCAGAGGAAATCTCTATAAAGTGAGGGCAGGTGTCCCCTGTGGAAGATTTCTTCTCTATTCCTGTTCTGGTGACAACTCCAAAGTTTTGGATGACCCATCATTCTCTGTCTCAGTGACACCTGGATACATAGAGATGGGTAATCTCACCAGCGGGGACGCAGACAGTCATAAATATCTGACAGGGGTCTAATCCTTCCACACTCCATCCAAAACCAACAAAAAAAAGGTTTCACCTAGTGCTATAGAAAGAAGATTCCAGGAATTAGGACATGTAGGTGTCACCAGGACTTTTGGGGTGCCATTACACGTTTTGTGTACAGGAAGTGCATGTTCCCCGGGGGGGAGGTGTGCAGGCGGTGTGTGTTCCCCGGGGGGGAGGTGTGCAGGCGGTGTGTGTTCCCCGGGGGGGAGGTGTGCAGGCGGTGTGTGTGTTCCCCGGGGGGGAGGTGTGCAGGCGGTGTGTGTTCCCCGGGGGGGAGGTGTGCAGGCGCTGCGTGTTCCCCGGGGGGAGGTGTGCAGGCGCTGCGTGTTCCCCGGGGGGAGGTGTGCAGGCGCTGCGTGTTCCCCGGGGGGAGGTGTGCAGGCGCTGCGTGTTCCCCGGGGGGAGGGTGCAGGCGCTGCGTGTTCCCCGGGGGGAGGAGTGCAGGCGCTGTGTGTTCCCCGGGGGGAGGAGTGCAGGCGCTGCGTGTTCCCCGGGGGGGGAGTGCAGGCGCTGCGTGTTCCCCGGGGGGAGGAGTGCAGGCGCTGCGTGTTTCCCCGGGGGGAGGAGTGCAGGCGCTGCGTGTTCCCCGGGGGGAGGAGTGCAGGCGCTGCGTGTTCCCCGGGGGGGAGGAGTGCAGGCGCTGCGTGTTCCCCGGGGGGGAGGAGTGCAGGCGCTGCGTGTTCCCCGGGGGGGAGGAGTGCAGGCGCTGCGTGTTCCCCGGGGGGGGGAGGAGTGCAGGCGCTGCGTGTTCCCCGGGGGGGGGAGTGCAGGCGCTGCGTGTTCCCCGGGGGGGAGGGAGTGCAGGCGCTGCGTGTTCCCGGGGGGGGAGGAGTGAGCAGGCTGCTGCGTGTTCCCCGGGGGGGAGGGGAGGAGTGCAGGCGCTGCGTGTTCCCCGGGGGGGAGGAGTGCAGGCGCTGCGTGTTCCCCGGGGGGGAGGAGAGTGCAGGCGCTGCGTGTTCCCCGGGGGGGAGGAGTGCAGGCGCTGCGTGTTCCCCGGGGGGGAGGAGTGCAGGCGCTGCGTGTTCCCCGGGGGGGGAGGAGTGCAGGCGCTGCGTGTTCCCCGGGGGGGGAGGAGTGCAGGCGCTGCGTGTGTTCCCCGGGGGGGAGGAGTGCAGGCGCTGCGTGTTCCCCGGGGGGGGAGGAGTGCAGGCGCTGCGTGTTCCCCGGGGGGGAGGAGTGCAGGCGCTGCGTGTTCCCCGGGGGGGAGGAGTGCAGGCGCTGCGTGTTCCCCGGGGGGGAGGAGTGCAGGCGCTGCGTGTTCCCCGGGGGGGGAGGAGTGCAGGCGCTGCGTGTTCCCCGGGGGGGAGGAGTGCAGGCGCTGCGTGTTCCCCGGGGGGGAGGAGTGCAGGCAGGCGCTGCGTGTTCCCCGGGGGGGAGGAGTGCAGGCGCTGCGTGTTACCCAGGGGGAGGAGTGCAGGCGCTGCGTGTTACCCGGGGGGAGGTGTCCAGGCGGCGTGTCGGGTTCCATTGACTGAAATCGAATGCAGATTGAAGCTCATCCCTTTAGTTTGAGGATGAATTAAACAGAGTGAATAGAAAAGTAACAATGTTACTTTGTATCTCTCTATCTCCTGTCTGAACAATGTTTCTAAACATTGTTACTTTGTATCTCTCTATCTCCTGTCTGAACAATGTTTATAAACAATGTTACTTTGTATCTCTCTATCTCCTGTCTGAACATTGTTTATAAACAATGTTACTTTGTATCTCTCTCTCCTGTCTGAACAATGTTTATAAACAATGTTACTTTGTATCTCTCTATCTCCTGTCTGAACAATGTTTATAAAACAATGTTACTTTGTATCTCTCTATCTCCTGTCTGAACATGCACAGCTCAGTTTACAGCACTGGAGAAGACAGCGAGCAGGCAGGCAGGTCGGGACATATTATTGCAGGAGGTGCATGTCTGTTCTGCAATACAAGCCTGCCTGCTCGCTGTTTCTTTCAGCGGAACTTCAGTTCCACTTTAACTCTGAAGTCTAGATCTCCCATCTGACTGCGAAAGGTTTCCAGTCCTCGTGTTGATCATGTTTCTGTCTCTCTTGGTTCCAGGGAGGGAGAAGTCATCAGGAGACCAACGAAGGGAGAAGTATCGGATTCCCGCCAGTGTCAGCGTTCTATGTCAGACTTGGAGGAGCTGCTGGCCCAGCTGGAGACCTTCTTTATCCTGACGGCAGTTCCTCGGGTCCTCCTGCTGTTGGGAGGATCTGTAGTGAGCCCCAAGGAGATGTATGTGATAGACATGGAGGGTGTACAGGTGGGCAATGGAGAGGAGAGCCTGAGCACGCGGCCTTGTCTCCGGCAGCTTTTCCACACCATCTTCCTGGCTGACCCGTTCAGTGATCTCCGCTCCACCACCCTCATGAGCGTGGTCATACTGGTGCAGGGACACAGGGACTGCGGCACAGAGTGGTTCCGGCCTAAACTAAACTACAAAGTGCCTATTCGGGGCCACACACTGACAGTCAGAATGTCCTGCGGTGCATCAGAGACCCCCGACGCCTATAGCAATGAGGAGTATATCTGGTTCCAGGCACCCATCACACTGAAAGGATTCCACAACTGAGGACCTTCCCTGTGGCCTCTCGTACCAAAGACTGACAATCTCTCTGTGTGCCTCCGAAAATGAACCTCAGGAGGCTCCACCCAACCTTGACGTTTCATGACCTCAGAGACGACTTTACCGTATGGTGTAATGCACTATCATCAATAAACAACTCATGAGATGTCTCCATACCTCCAATAAACTGCTGCTTCTTCTGACCATGTGACTGACCGTGATCCAACCAGTAACTGTGCAATAATTCCAGAGGGCTGTAGCTGGACTTTTCCATGGAGGCCTCAGATACAGCCAATGTAATGCCCCATATATGCACAGTTCAGAGGACGTCCTATCTACAGGAATTGACTTCAATATAGGCATGCAAAGACAGGCTCATTGTTACTCCCAATTTTATCAGCTGCTAAGAACCCCTAAAATCAATCCAGGGGAACCGTCTTGTCCCAGACTCATGGGGTATACACATGAACCTTCTCTGCTCTGCTGCTGCTGTAGTATGCGTATTGCAGCAAGTAGGGCTTTTGGGGCTCTGTCTGACCTGCTTCTGTCAGTAAATGTAGGAATAATGGAATCGGGGTCAGTTGGGAGGCACATTATCTGATCACAGGCACTGTTTACATTACTAAATCCGCCAAGTATGTGCCTTCAAATTCTCTATATGTAATGTAGATACATTTATTGAGGTCCACCTTCTGCAGATAATAAGCATTCAGGTACGCCTTCTAATGACGTTGAGCCTTCAGGTTCCATCTTCTGCAGATAATGGGCAGTCAGGTCCGCCTTCTGCTGACTTTGAGCCTTCAGGTTCCATCTTCTGCAGATAATGGGCAGTCAGGTCCGCTTTCTGCTGATGTTGAGCGTTCAGATTCCATCTTCTGCAGATAATGGTCGTTCAGGTCCACCTTGTGCTGATGTCGAGTGTTCAGGTTCCACCTTCTGCAGATAATGGATATTCAGGTCCACCTTTTGCTGATGTTGAGCGTTCAGGTCCATCTGCAGGTTATGGGCACCTTCCAGGTCCGCTTCTGATGATGTTGGCCATTCAGGTTCCCATCTTCTGCAGATAATGATTCAGGTCCACCTTCTCAGGTTAGCCTTCAGGTTCCATCTTCTGCAGTTAATGGGCATTCAGGTCCACCTTCTGCTGATGTTGAGCCTGTTCAGGTTCCATCTTCTGCAGTTAATGGATATTCAGGTCCACCTTTTGCTGATATGGAGTGTTGTTTCAGGCCTTCTGCAGATAATGGGCATTCAGGTCCGCCTTCTGCTGATGGTGAGCCTTCAGGTACCATCTGCAGATAATGAGGCATCCAGGTCCGCCTTCTGCTGATGTTGAGCCTTCAGGTTCCATCTTCTGCAGTTAATGGGTGCATTGAGGTCCACCTTCTGCTGATGTTGAGCGTTCAGGTTGCATCTCCTGCAGATAATGGGTATTCAGGTCCGCCTTCTGCTGATGTTGAGCCTTCAGGTTCCATCTGCAGATAATGGGCATCCAGGTCCGTCTTCTGCTGATGTTGAGCCTTCAGGTTGCATCTTCTGCAGATAATGGGTATTCAGGTCCACCTCCTGTAGTAATCAGGCAATCAAGGTCCACCTTTGACAAGTAACTGGCATTTGGGACCTTCCTTCTGCAGAAAGAAAGATTTAGGGTTTGTTGTCTGCATAGAGCAGGCATTCAGGGTGTGTATTTGACAGATGGGTATTCAGTGTCTGCCTTCTGCAGAAAACAAATTTTTGGGGTCCACCTGAAGATAATGAACATTTCAAGTACACCAGCTACAGAAAAAGGGGCATTTAGGGTCAGTCTTTAGCAAATAACGGGCATCCTGGGACTGCTATCTGCAAACAAAAAGGATTCAGGGTTTCGGATTTGCAGACAATGGGCAATCAGGTCCTCTTTATGCAGGTAAAAAAAAAAAAAAAAAGCATTCGAGGTTCACCTTCTGCAGATAATGGGTAATTGTGGTCTGCATTCTAGAAATAATGAATTGATGGGTATTCAGGGTCCATCTTCTGCAGATAATTAACATTAACCCCCGGTTCACATCTATGCGGCCGTGGGGGCCGCGTTTTGCACGGGCACGAGAGCCCATTCATTTGAATGGACATCCCGTTGCCCATGACACGCAGAGTAGAAGTCCCTGCACTTCTTTGTAAAACGCAGCCGAGGTTCCCAGTACGGTCGCGTTTTCCAGTGCAGGCGGCGTGCCATGAGAACTAATGGCACGCTGCACACGGGTCCGCAATTCTCTGTGAGGCTGCACGGATTTTCGTGTGGATCCACAGCGGCACCACCCGCACAGATGTGAACCTCAGGTAAGAGGGTTATTTACCGAAATTGGAGAGTGCAAAATCTGGTGCAGCTCTGCATAGAAACCAATCAGATTCCAGGTTTATTGCCAAAGCTTAATTGAACAAGCTGAAAATAGAAGCTGATTGGCCACCATGCACAGCTGCACCAGATTCCAATTGCTCCAGATCTAGTAAATCAGCTCCTAAGGGTCCACCTTCAGTAAATAACGGAATTCAGGACCCGCCTTCTGCAGATAACGGGCAGTTGGGGTCTGTCATTGACAAATAGCGGGCATAATCAGGACCCGTCCTTCTGCCTTCTGCAGATAACAGGCATTTTGGGTCTGTCATTGACAAATGGTGGGCATTCAGGACCTGCCTTCTGCAGATAATAAGCATTGGGGGTCTGTCATTGACAAATGGTGGGTATTCAGCCCCTGCTTTCTGCAGATAACGGGCATTTGGGGTCTGTCATTGACAAATGGTGGGCAATCAAGGCCTGCCTTCTGTAGATAACAAGCATTTGGGGTCTGTCATTGACAAATAGTGGGCATTCAGGGCCCGCCTTCTGCATATAACAGGCATTGGGGCTTTGCCATTAATAAATTATTGGGCATTCGGGGGCCTGCCTTCTGCACACTGCAAGGATTCCGGGTTTGCGTTTTGCAGACAAACACGCATTCAGGGGGTGCACTTGGCAGGTGAGTATTCAGGGCCCCCGTCTTCTAAAGATAAAGAACATTCTATGTCCGCATTAGTCAAGGATTCAGCTCAGACCCCCCCCAGCAGAGAAGTGCAGACCCCCCCCCAGCAGAGAAGTGCAGACCCCCCCCCCCCCTCAGCAGCAGAGAAGTGCTTGCGTCTGCCCAATCTGACTTCAGAGCATGTCATTTCTCACAGTCACATGACTCCTTTTGTGTCCTCCCTGATGGATTTGCAGAAGTTATCTGAATGTCATATTTTATAATTTTTATATGATTTTATTTTTTGTCTGTATTTTTATTTTTCTGTGGAGGGCTGTGTCTGTGTGAACAGGCTCTCCCTGCATGTATGTTTACCGTGGTATCAACGCAACAGGATCATGAGCAAATATATTTTTCTACATCGTATCTTGGTTTTTAAGTGATTTATTTAATTGCATGAAGGTGTGTATTGAATGTTTCGGCCTGTAAATATTTTATTTGAATGCGAAGCTATGAAAGCATTATGTATCCTAAACCACCCTCTGCGGTTTTAATTTGATTTGTTGTTTTAGTCATTTGTGTTATCTTTTATGAATAAATGGAGCTTCTGTCTTCTTCGTAATGTGTTCTCTCAGTACAGCCTCAGGGTAGTGCCGGCCTCCCCACTCCTATCCTCAAATGAACGCTGCCTTCAGTAAGTAGACTCATTCAACGTGCTTTAAAGTGTTACTAAACCCACAACAGTACAATCAGTCTGTAGATGCAGTAAAGCATGCTTGTTATACTCACTGTGGAACCTAAGGGGTTAACCGCTTCCATACCGGGCACTTTTACCCCCTTCCAGCCCAGGCCAATTTTCAGGTTTCAGCGCTCTCACACTTTGAATGACAATTGCGCGGTCATACAACATTGTACCCAGACTAAAATTTTATAATTCTCTTCACACAACTAGAGCTTTCTTTTGGTGGTATTTAATCACCGCTGGGGTTTTTATTTTTTGCTAAATTAACAAAAAAAGACCAAAAATGTTGAAAAAAAAAAACCCCATGTTTTTCTTTGTTTCTGTTATAAAAGTTTGCAAATAAATAATTGTTCTTCATAAATTTAGGCCGAGATGTATTCTGCTCCATGTCTTTGGTGACAATAACCCAAATTAGGATGTATTATTTAGTCTGTAGAAAAGTTATAGAGTTCACAAACTATGGTATAGATCTGAAAATGTATCACCCTGAAGTACTGACAGCCAATCTAATTTCTTGAGGTCCAAGAATGTCAGAACAGTACAGATATCCCCCGAATGTCAGGACGGTGCAGATATCCCCCAAATGTCAGGACGGTACAGATATCCCCCAAATGTCAGGACGGTACAGATATCCCCCAAATGTCAGGACGGTACAGATATCTCCCAAATGTCAGGACGGTACAGATATCTCCCAAATGTCAGGACGGTACAGATATCCCCCAAATGTCAGGACGGTACAGATATCCCCCAAATGTCAGGACGGTACAGATATCCCCCAAATGTCAGGACGGTACAGATATCTCCCAAATTGTCAGGACGGTACAGATATCCCGCAAATGTCAGGACGGTGCAGATATCCCCCAAATGTCAGGACAGGACAGATATCCCCCAAATGTCAGGACGGTGCAGATGTCCCCCAAATGTCAGGACGGTACAGATGTCCCCCAAATGTCAGGACGGTACAGATGTCCCCCAAATGTCAGCACGGTACAGATATCCCCCCAATGTCAGGACGGTACAGATATCCCCCAAATGTCAGGACGGTACAGATATCCCCCAAATGTCAGAACGGTACAGATATCCCCCAAATTACCACTTTTTGCAAAGTAGACAGTCTGACGTATTTCATAAGAGGCATGGCGAGTTTTTTGAAGTTGTAATTTTTTTGTCATTTTTTCGGAAATGATTTTCACTATTTTTTTTTTTTTTTACATACTGTCACCACTGCAGTACAGCGTCAGCATATAACTGGCATGGCGGTGATCAGGGACACTGACTGGTGACAGTTC